GTAAATTTTTTTTAGATTTTTAGTTTTTGGTGGGTTTCATGTCCACTAACAGCAGAGTGAAAAATGTTTCTATATTCTGAAAAAACTAGCATGAAATGTTAACTACTCTTGCAAAAGTCGCTATAATACTTATTTATACACTTTCGAATGTCTCCTCTTCGTATGAACTTAGAAAACTGCAAGAAAACGTGGTAGTTTCGGTGCCTAGTGGAAGAGGTCGCAAAAAAGAAGCAAACTAATCATGGGCGTAGCCAGAACGAAATTTAGGGGGGGCAGGGCCCATACAAAAAAAAATTCAAAACCAATAACTTACTTACTAAAAAATTGTTTATTATAGCTTAAAATTATTAACTTTTTACTGCGCATGTTTATTTTACGAGGAGGAAGCATCGAAAGCCTAACCCCGTCAGTGTAAGACTTTAACCCAAACTAAACTTCCTACCGTCATGTACCGTTCCCCTCTCGGTACCACCATCAAAGATTTCGTGGGGATTATAACACTGTGTGACCGATAAGGTTATAGATCTATTCTCTTCTTCTTCTTCTTGTATGGCGCTGTAACCGCCAAAGCGATTTTGGCCAACTGACGCCAATTGGAAATGCCAAGTGAAGCCAGAATACTTTCAGAGCTGGGGCGTCGGTGTCCATTCGAACGACATGGTCAAGCCAGTTGAGCCGCTTTATATTAATTCGCTATATACCAGCACGGGCATGATGAGTGACTTATAGTGTGGTTTTCGTACGTCGAGAGGACTTTACTCCTGAATTGCCTACTCAGTCCAAAGCAGTACTTGTTGGCAAGAGCGATTCTGCGTTGGATTTCCATGCTGACATTATTATCGGTGATAATGCTGGTTCCCAAGTAAACGAAATTCTCTACTTTCTCGAAATTATAACTGTCAAAAGTGTCGTGGCCAAGGCGCGAATGTGCTGATTGTTTGTTTGATGACAGGGATACTTCGTCTTGTCCTCGTTTACTACCAGACCCATTCGCTTTTCTTCCTTGTCCAACTTGGAAAAGCCAGGACAGGCTTCGCGTTTTTTCTTACCGATGATGTCAGTGTCATCGGCATAAGCCAGCAATTGTACGCTCTTGTAGTAAATTGTTCCTGAGCGGTTCAGTTCTGCAGATATTATTATCTTCCCCAACATCAGATTAAAGAAGTCACAGAAAGAGAGTCGCCCTGTCTGAAACCCCGTCTAGTGGCGAACGGCAACAGAGCAGAGCTGGTGGTATTGCTCAAGGTAATTTTTCACAGCCGTATGAGTTTTGAGGGGATATAGGAAACTCCTTTTAGTGCTGTCGAAAGCGGCTTTAAAGTCGACATATAGGTGGTGAGTGCCGATCCTTTTCTTGCGGGTCTTTTCCAAGATTTGGCGTATTGTGAAAACCTGGTCTATGGTAGACAACACATTCGATAAGGCCTTGCAACGTATGCTTAGAAGGCTGATCCCGCGGTAGTTGGCACGCATGGCGCGGTCGCCTTTCTTGTGGTTTGGGCAGAGCGCAATTGAATTCCAGTCGTCGAGCATGCACCTTATTACCTCCTTGCCATCGTAATTAAATAGCTCAGCTGACAGGCCGTCAGCTCAAGCAGCTTTGGCACTTTTCGTCATAGTCAGGCGCTGGGATATCGACTCCATCGTCATCGACTGGGACCTCGGGTTCGTCTTCTCCACTTCTTTCAGTGCTTCTGCCATTCAAAAGGGTCGAAAAGTGTTCCCTCCATAATCTGAGTACGTCACCAACACCGAATTGCACTCCTTTACGTGGAAAATGTAGTAGACGTCGCAAGGCTCCACGCTTACCTTCCTCGCCCCATCCATCGCATTTCGTGGATGGCGGTGATGTCAGCCTTTATTTTTCCCTAGGACATCAACCAGCCGGGCAGAGACACCATCCCGATTAAGGGTTCGGATATTCCAAGTGCATACCCTAAAATCATATTCCTTCCTATGTTTGCCGTGATCGTCATCAAAAGAAGGGGGTATCATCCGAGGCATGTGTTTTTTTTCATTGGGCAAGGTTTTAACGTAGCGGGACCCAAAGCCAGCGCACGCCGGTCACTCCCAGTTGAATGGCAGTCAAAAGCTTTGCAGTACTGGGAAATGTACAAAACATAGTGGACAAAAGCGAATATCTCAACTAAACCCTGATGTGTTTTTTAAATTCATAGCTCTACATACCTGTATAGTAAACCAAATAGCCGGACCAGACGTTATTCGAAATAAAAAATGTAAAAAAATAAACTTTTTTCCGCATACTCTGTAATATTCTTCCGCAATTTTGTAAGGTAAACTAACAATTTATAATCATTGCTTTGCAGCGAAATATCTTATCTTAAATTATACACATAGGTATGTATAAATATGAGGACGTATTGAACATTTTGAGTATGCAGATTTTTTATGCTGGTGTATTCATTTATGCTAAATATATTACTTGATTTTGTTTTGTCACACTTAAGAAGTAAACGTCTTGGCTGTTCACCCAACCGGTCTATATTTTTATCCATAATCTCAGATTATACGCTTAGAAAAGACACACACATAAAGACAAAGTAATAAACAATTAACCCCGAAATTTATTTATAGTTTCCGTTCAATCCATTTTGGCTCATTGTCGACTGCAGCCAGGTTTTTACCCTTTTTAAATGGAAGTGCTTTGAACATAGAGAGAATAACTTGATACAGAACCGGATGATCCACATATCCACTTTTTAAATCAATTTACTAA